TCACATCAGGTCTTCTGAACAAAGCCAGGAGTGATCCCTCAACATGAGCACAGCAAGGAAGGAGGAAGGAAAGAAGGAAGGAAGGAAGGAAGGAAGGAAGGAAGGAAGGAAGGAAGGAAGGAAGGGAGGGAGAGAAAAGAGAAAAAGAGCACAAGAAAGCAAGAAAGCAAAAAAGAAAGAGGGAGGAAAGGGAATGGAGGTGGGAGGAAAGGAGGAAGGAGAAAAAAGGAGAAAGCGAGAAAGAAAGAAGTTTTTTTCAGTGTGAATTCTTATATAAACACACTATACAATATACATAAACTAGCGATATAGAGTGTACCTTTACTCAGTACTGAAGATGAGAACAATGAATGGAATTTTAAAAAAAATCAGTGTTTGGCAGTCACAGAAATGGAAAAGGCGAAACTGCAGTGGGAAGCAGAGAAGACACCTTTCTTTGGGTTTTATTAGATATTTTTTCCGGGAGGAGAGGGTCCACATCCAGTAATGCTCAAGGCTTTTGCCTGGTTCTGAGCTGTGAAATCCTTCCTGGTGGACTCGGGGACCATCTGGGTTCCAGGTATCAAACCCTGGTCTGCTTCATGTAAGGCAAGGGCAGTACCCACAGTAGTGTATCTTCAGTCTGTAAGGAGGCTCTTTGCTGTAGTAACTGAATCAGAAAGAGGCAAATTGGAAAGGAAAGAGCGATAAGGTTGAAGTAGTTAAGTCAGAATTCAGAAGACCACAGAGAGGCATTTAGGAGAACTACAGGAATCCTTCAAGTTGTATAACAGAGCTTAGAGTTTCAGTTAATTTTATCTTAAGAAAGTAATCCATTTTCCATATAATTGGTTTAAGAGATTAACTTTAAGTCACACAGCAAGAAGAGATAATTGGCCACTAAATGGAGCAATTCAAACAATTCCTGGAAAAGATGAATGCTGGAAGTATCCATTCTACCTTCTAAAGGAGACAAGTCTTTTCAGTGGCATTTGTTGGCTGGCATGTATGCTTTGAGACATACACAACAGGTGCTGTGTATGACCCATAAGGAATGAAAATTATTATGATTTTTTAATGTTTTTATTTTATAAAGTAGTTCACAATATTTGATTACATTTAACATTCAAACACCAATCCCACCACCATTTCACCTGCCCACCATATAGGAATGAAAATTATTTGGGCTAGATAATGTGCCATAGAGACGTTAGAGCAGAAAACTGTGCGAACTTTGTTGGGTGACAATATTCCTTCCATACTTCATGATAGTGCTTTACTCTTTTAAGCCTCGTGAAAGCCCTGTAAGACAAGCATCATTCTCCACATTTCATAGATGAGATATCTAAGACCCCAAAAATGTTTCTGCACTATGGAAGTGCCAAAACAAAACAAAATGCAGCTTGTTAATTTTATTAGAAAATATTATCATTACTGATGAAAACTAGATGTGCTAAACTGAATGTGATCCTAATAAAAATATCAGAAATTTAATTGTGTTTCCTTCCATTTAAGATGCTATTACTTGCTTTTTAAAAGGCAATTTAAGAGAAAGCATTTTAAAATTATGAAACATAACGAGCAAATCTTGCTGCAAAGATTTAGAGAGTCCTTACCTGGATCTGCGTTTCCCACCCTCAAGGTGACAGTCTCAGATAAATGCGTTTTAGTGAGGAAAGGTAGCAGGGAAAAGGCCTGTCTGCTCCCCTCCAAATTTGCCATGAACAGGAACCAAAATTAACAGTTCCTTTCAAATGGCTCGGCTGTCACGGGTGACAGGCACAGGAATTGGGCCTATCATGTTCTCATATAAGAACGATGAGTCAAAGCTCCTTGTTAACATTTTGTTGGGGAAAAATGTCAGGGAGAAAGGCAAAAGACATGTTATATATAGCAGTTAAACTTTATGTCCTTGGATATTTCAAGTTTACCATTTTAACACACGGCATATTTGACACTCCAAAATTCAGATACTTCCTTCTCTCCCCTAAGTAAAAAGTTGTTTTCTTCCTTGGTTTCTTCTCTCTCTCTCTCTCTCTCTCTCTCTCCCTCTCTCTCTTTCCCTCTCTCCCTCCCCTTCCTCTAATTTTTTTTTGCAGAAAAATCCTACAAATTGTTCAATGAATCAAATTTCCACTAATAGTACTGGGAAGAACTTTGTCAATCTTTTAGCAAAGTTTTTTAGTTAATCATTCTTAGTTCTTTTTTTCAAGCATATTTATCTCCATGTGTACCTAATGATTTTCTCTTTTAAGCCAAGTGTGGAAATCTAAAAAATCTTGGGAACAATCTAGAATTATATTTTGCTCTATTTTAAGGGAATTTCAAAATTTATAGATAAATATCCTGGATTAAATCAATTAAGATGCAGACAATTTGTGGTTACTGAGAAATATATTTTGATCTAAAATGATATGATTTGATAAATTGTCTTAAAATTATCATTTTTATTAACTGCCACACAACAAATTAAAAATGAATTGTGTCTACACCAATAATAAGTTTTCAAGACCACATACCTCAAACTATCAAATATTTCACTCTGCAAATATTTCGCTTTACCTAATCTTTGGACTGGAGCAATAGCACAGTGGGTAGGGCGTATGCCTTGCACGCAGCCGGCCTGGCTGAATTGGGTCCAATTCCTCTGCCCCTCTTGGAGAGCCCGGCAAGCTACCGAGATTATTTTGCCTGCTCTGCAAAGCCTGGTAAGCTCCCTGTGACGTATTCGATATGCCAAACACAGTAACAACAAGTCTCACAATGGAGACGTTACTGGGCCCGCTCGAATAAATCGACGAGCAATGGGAGAACAGTGCTATAGTGTAGTGCTACCTAATCTTTATTATATACAACTTTCCATTTCTTATAATGAAATTAGAATGGTTTGTCTTTAAAACTTCCGCGACTAAGCAGAAACTCTATGTTGTATGTCCTGTCCCTTGTCTTCACCTAGTAGAAAGACTTATTAAAGACTTTATCTGTACTTCTACAGTATCAAGTACAATTTAATTTAGTTACCACTTTTTTTTTCTTTTTTTTGGTTTTTATTTTGGGGGTCACTCCCAGCAGTGTCAGGGCTTACTTCTGGCCCTCAGGAATGATTCCTGGAAGGCTCAGAGTACCATGCGGGATGCCGGAGATGGAACCCGGGACAGATTCATGCAAGGCAAATGCCCTAGCAGCTGTACTATTACTCTGGTCCCAGTCACTAATCTTTGAGCTACACAAACAAGAGAGAGAGAGAGAAAGAGAGAGAGAGAGAGAGAGAGTGTTTTGGAGCATAAGGAATTGAAAAAGAATGATTATTGATTAATAAAAATAAGTTCACACTCAAGAAAAAAACTAGAACACCTCCACTAATCATAAAGAGCAGAAGCACAGCATGGCAGAGGAGCAGACAACTGGTTTAAGCCTGCCAACTCAGTAGCATTCTGATCCGGGACCCACATACTAGAGCTGAGAGTCCAAGGGCGTTTGCTTTGTTGCCTACTCAGATTATCCCAACCATCTCGGTTCTTGATTCCACACTGCTACTGTGTGGATCAAATAAACCCTGTCACGAAAATACTTTAGGGAATGAATGACTCCTGGCGCCCAGGTTGGGACTGGGGTTAGTGTTTCCACATGCCTGGGGGATGAGCTAAGTTTATAGGATGAGAGATTTCCTTTTCAAGTTTTGTATTCCTCCAATACAAAATACCAGAATCAATTTTTTTAAAAAAGTAATTAAGAAATGCATATTCCAGCCAAGAGAACTACATTTATTTTTCATTGCCTTAAAAAAATACTACCGACTTAGAATAAAGAAAATTTGTAGTATTCATTTAGAATTATGGAGAGTCATTAAGTTTAATTTTTTTCAACGTGAATCATAATCAGGCATTTAAAGATCCATCGTTGATTTGCTCATACTTGCGGGGGGGAAGCCCTATTCTGGGTGGTTCGTGGTATTTATTACAAAACAACATGACAGGGAGAGAAATCTATAAAAAACAGTTTAGAAAATCTTTTCTTTGTCATTTTCTTCCAGTCTTCCATTATGTCTTGGAGAGGGAAGTTACACGTTGAATTTTATTTCGGGTGGAGACACGCCCCTTGAAATAAAGGGGGGTGCTCAGACTCTGCACTGAAGGATCAGGGGACCTTGGGGGAGGATCCAGGAGGGCGTGTGTGTGAGTGTGTGACTGTGTGTGACTGTGTGTGTGTGTGTGTGTGTGTGTGTGTGTGTGTGTGTGTTACCACTGTTCTATCGCTCCAACCCCGAAGTTACACGTTTTAGCAAGACTCACTTTCCGCTCGGGAGCGGCGGAGGTCAGAGCTCGGAGTAGAGGTGCCTTAGACCCGTGCTCGGCTCCCGTGGCCCCCTAAGAGGCACCCTAAGTCCGGGTGCTCCCCCAGACGCCGCCAGGGGCTCCTGCAACCTGGGCGAGTGCGGGAACCCGGCCAGGCTGCGGCTCCTTGAGGATCTGCAAGTCAGAGAAGGTCCCGCCCGGCTCTCCCCCTGCATCCTCGCCGGGTCTGCCGGCGAAGTCGCACCGGGCTCAGTGAGCTCAGCCTGTTCTTTGCCGCCACTTGCATCCGACCGTGGGAGCCGAGGTCACTGCAAAGCGGCCGGCGCCGCCGCCGGACGTCTAAGAAACGCTGCTGCGAGCACCGCCGCGGGGCAGGCAAAGCACAGCCACGCATCTAAGCATCTTCAAAAACCCGAAACGGCAGCGAGGAAGGAGGCAGGAAAGAAGCCAAAGTCACGCGCCTTCCTGCCCCGAGGGTTTGAAAAATCCTGTAGTTGTTGGGGAAGGGGGTGGGGGGAGAGATGGGTGGAAGGAACCTTTCCCCAGATTCCGGGGAGAGGACAGGAAGGGGTGGGGGTGCGCGCCCTCTGCTCATCCCACCCCTCCCCACCCCCCTTCCCCGACCGCTGTCCAGCTCTGGGAATTCATTGGCTGCTTCCCCCACGCGGCCTTCCAAATACCATCCCAATCCCGTTTAGACCCTCCGCCCCACCCTCGCTGACCTAATAAGGCCATGCGATGTGTGGGGGGACAATTATAAAAGGCGTGAGCTCTGAGGGATTCTGCACCGCGCTGGGAAGAGGAGTCAGAAGCTGTCCAGTGCCCGGTGTAGGACCGACCATGGCCAAGGAGTGGGGCTACGCCAGCCACAATGGTGAGTATGGGCAGCCGGGGGTCCCCCCATTCCCCAACAGATCAGAGGAACCCAGGCAATGTGCAAGCCAGTGAACACCCAGGGCACCCAGGGCATCAGGGCTGCGTGTGAAAATCTGGGCAGAGGAGTTTGATGGAGACTGGAGTTTACTGAGCTCTTCCAAAGGCCAGTTGCTACTCACCCTTTTACTTTCATCCCCTTCAGTTCTCCTTGCATGGAGCTGGTATTGCTTCCACGGGGCAAAAACAGAAGCCCAGAGAGGCTCCTAGCTTTACCCAAAACCACACTGTATCGGCAGAGGGCCAGTTCTACTTGTCCTTCACGCTATGATACTGGGCAAAAGCTTGACTTCTCTGAGCCAGGGGTACTGGTAAATCTCAGCTCTGTCTTCTGCTTCCTATTCTGGAGAAAAGGAAGAAGGGTGTGTCAGAAAATCAAATGTGGTCTGTTATTCTTTTCTAACTGTATGATAGATTCAGCACTGCTGAAACAAAGATCCCTTCAAAAGTTAGTCCTTGAGGTTATCTTCTTGAGCAAGCAGGGGTCAAGTACAGCTACCATCTTCATATACAGTCTTAACATTATGAACAGGTCTCAAATACGAAAAGCACTGTGTCACCCAACCAGAAATCCAAGACCTTTCCATAACCACAAAATACACAGCCTCTGAGTACTGTGCTGGTTTTATCCATCACAAAGAGGATTTGGATGACTTTCCCAAGTAACTCAGTCCCCTCTCCTTGATTCTGTAGGTCCTGACCATTGGCACGAACTTTACCCCATTGCCAAGGGAGACAACCAATCCCCCATCGAGCTGCATACTAAGGACATCAAGTATGACCCCTCTCTGCAGCCGTGGTCCACAGCTTATGACCCCGGCTCTGCCAAGACCATCTTGAACAATGGGAAGACCTGCAGGGTGGTATTTGATGACACCTATGATAGGTCAAGTGAGTATGACCCTAACCTCACATTTTCAACATTGAGGACTCAATAAGAGAATTAGTGGGGACAGGAGGTGTTTTATCTCTGAAAACAGAGTTGATGTTTGGCTTGGCTAGAGCAGCTAACAGTATTCAGATATCAAAGAAGTATGTCTCACCTTCTAACCTTAGGTAGACGTAGGCTCAAGTTAAAAGCTTGCAGTGTTTTCTTAAAATGGAGCTTGAGGGCACTGTAGAGAGCTGGTTTTCTGTATGCAGCCCACCCAGGTTTAAATCCCGGCATCCCATACAGTCTCCTGAGTACCCCGAGGAGTAATTTCTGGGCACGAACCAGGAGTAACCCCTGAACATCCCTGGGTGTGGCCCCCAAACCGAAACAAAACAAAACAAAATGGAGCTTGGAATGAAGGTGGTAGTTCTGAATTCAAATGAATACTCTTCACTGAACAGAAAAGTTCTTGCGGATTCTGACCAAAGTCTGCAGAGGGAGGCTCTCCTTCTGTGTTTGGCCATGATTCCATTCTAGAAAGCAGAACACAGCAGAGAAACAAAGTAGGCACTTTCTTCCCCTTGTCTTAGGGTAGAGGCTACTCCAGGGGAGAGAATAGAGCCATTATATGAGTGAAGAAGAGTTGCCTTCAGTGCTTCAATGGAGTGTTTATCTGATTAATTCTCTTGGAGAGAGTTTTGGAAGTATCTGACAATTTGTTCCTATGTAAAATATGTGAAATGAAAATCACATGTTAAAAGTATCAGGGCTGAAGAGATAGTACAGTCGGGAAGCTTCTGGCTTTGCATTTGACCAACCCAGGTTGGAGATCTGGCACTGCATTTGGTCTCTGAGCACCTCCCTGAGGAAGGTGCTGAGGAATCACTGAGCACCTCAAAAGGAGTAATCCCTAGGCATCCAGATGTAGCCCAAAGTCAACAAACAAAAGATAACTTTATTCACCTACACAATTAAGCAAATCAGTGAAATAAAAAAAAAAAACTGACTAGAAATGTCTGTTGCACTGTAAATTAAGCAAAAGAGAATCTTACTTTCATATTGTAATGCTCAATATACAATATGATTCTTATAATCATGCTTTTAAAAATAGTTAAAGTTGTACTTATTGATGTATACAAATCAATACTTCCAATGATGTTTTAGTAAAGAGAAATAAAATACTAATTTTAACCTCCTTGAATGTTCTAAGAAATAGGATAAAGAATTTATATTTTTAAATAATAACTTTATGTTGCTGTCTACAGTGGTTTACTCTTTTCCCCATTTAAATCTATTTCCAATTTGAAGGAAAAGCAAAATTAAACAGTTTCTAAAAGATTGTTCTATATGAGCATTTAGAGTTTCACATAAATTGTCCTAATAAGTTGAACACATATATCTGGAAAACGCCTGACTTCATGGTTGCAAAAGAACTTTTCACAGGATTGTGACTCCATCTTTGTCTACATCCTTATACCTCTCTGTAATTTTCATCTCTTTTCTAGAAATGTTAAACTGTCATTTAGAACTAATGAAACAAAAGAAGGCAGAGAAGAGACACTTTTATATAGCTCAATCCTTTATATTGTAAGAAAGATAACCCCATGCTTGGGTAAACCAATTGACCAGCATACTGACCACCTTGTACTTATCAATGCTGGGCTCTTACAGCATGTGTTAAAGGCAGAGCTCTGTATTAATAAAAGTGAGAGTTCACTGTTCCCTTGTTCCTTTGAATCACAGTGCTGAGAGGTGGTCCTCTTACTGGACCATACCGGCTTCGCCAGTTTCATCTTCACTGGGGATCTTCGGATGATCATGGCTCAGAGCACACTGTGGATGGAGTCAAGTATGCAGCGGAGGTAGGAGGAATGTCATAATCCACTCCCGGTTGCACACAGTGAAAATCAAAAACTGAAAAGCAATACTCCAGTATCTATTGCTATTGCCTCAAGCATGTAGTTGGGAAAAGAACTATAGTAGTTTTAGTATAAGTGCAAGCTGCTAAACTAGACACTTAAAAGAGAGTATGCTATAGATATGTTAGCATCATGTATAAAGACTTTCGAGGCTGTTTTAAGAGATTCGATAGCAGCTGAATAGAAAAAGATCAGGGTCTTGCATGGAACAGAAAAGATAAAGGACACAAACACTTATTAAGTACTTACAAGTGTTAACTCATTTGAAATTCTCCCTCAGTAACTCTACAAGTTATACATGAGAAAAATAGTGGGATACAGTGTTTGTCTTGCACATGGCCCACCCAGGTTTGATCTCCAGCATTTCATACTGTCCACTGAACACCACCAGGAGTGATCCCTGAGTGCGGAGCCGGGAATAAGCCCTGAGCATCACCAGATATGGGGCAAAATGAAAGAAAGAAAGAAAGAAAGAAAGAAAGAAAGAAATAAAGAAAGAAAGAAAGAGAAAAGAGAGAGAGGGAGGGAGGGAAGGAAGGAAGGAAGGAAGGAAGGAAGGAAGGAAGGAAGGAAGGAAGGAAGGAAGGGGAAGGAAGGAGGATGAGTGCTAGATCTGGAGCTCTACCTTATGAGATTTAAAAAAAAGCCTGTTTTACCTAAACTTCAAATTTTATTGGTTGTTCATTTAAAGTCTAAATTATTTAACCTAAATTTATTTTATTTGAACCATTACAATTTTACAAAAATATTCATGGTCATACTTAGAATTTTGTTAACCTTTATGAGACTGTCGAATTTTGGAGTTTATCCAAATAATTTTATACTTGCTTACTCACTCGAGGAACTTATTTTTCAACCTTACATTTTACCTTTTAGTCATATGTTCACCCTTAAACCTGTATTCTCTGATTTCAGCTTCATCTGGTTCACTGGAATCCGAAGTATAACACTTTTGGAGAAGCTCTGAAGCAACCCGATGGAATAGCTGTGGTTGGCGTTTTCCTGAAGGTAAAGATTAGCCATATATTTTCTTCCAATAGAAAAAAAAGGGTTCTTTACCTTGCAAAGGATAGTGTGAGTTTTACTTCCTCCATTTGCTTGATGGGGAAAGAGAAATTCCAGTATCACGATGATCACGATCACGACCATCCTGTTGTTCGTAGATTGCCTCGAGCAGGCCCCAGTAACATCTCCTTTGTCCTAGCCCTGAGATTTTTTAAAAAGTGCCATATCAAAGCTCTTTCAGGTTTAGGAGAATGTGACCTATCATTGTTACTGGTATTTGGCATATTGGGTACGCCACGGGGAGTTTGCCAGATTCTGCCGTGTGGGCAGGTTACATTCAGTAGCCTGCCTGTTTGTCCAAAGTAAGAATGAGATAATAAGATGTCGCTGCATAGTCTTTGGGTCTTGGCCGTTGATGGGATTACACAGTGCCAGGGGGCCAGTTGGTGGGTGTGACCCCTGCCTACTGGAATATGGAAGATCTGGGTGGAGGATGCTCAGCCCTGATCTGAGCAGGCTTGGAGATCTCAGCCCTGGGACCTGCGTGCCTTTGTTCCTCTGCCGGTACCTTCATGTGCATGGAGCGTTGTCTCAGCATGGTGGTGACTGGTTCTGGAGGTCTTCGGAGGCCGGAGCCCTGGTCAGGGCGGGGAGGGAAACTCAACCAGCTTCCCTCCAAGGGGCCCCAGTGAGGACAGCCAGGCACAGGGGCAGGAGACTGTGTTGTTCTCTTCCGGGAGCTGGGTTTTATAGTATAGTATTCCAGTATACATGCAAATAATAGAGATATTTTTATGAACATCAGTTCAAAATGTTTTGCTTTCACTTAAAAGTGCACCTTTGGTCATATTCTGTCACTAGCGTGTCTAAATTTTTTCAAGATCTGGAATGCATTTATGAATGTGTGTATGTGGGACGAGGGTGGTAGTGGTGAGGGTTTGCAGTGAAGACCAGAGTGTTGATGGCACCAAAGGCAACAGCAGCATTTCAGAATTCTTCCCTTCTACTTCATTTCAATTCCAGTGGAAACCAGAAAAGCCAAAGCTGGGTACCCCTGGGATGCCAAGTTCTTGGCTGGACATCTCCTCAGCTTAGGGTGGCCACCACTCATATGATCCTGGGCTGCCAGAGACATGGAATGTGTGTGATGTTGAGCCAACCTTGGTTTAAAGAGGACTTAGTGTGATTACACACGAATTTAGTGGTAACATAATCTAGATGTAAGCCAGAGGTGAAAATCTAGCATCTTTTGTTTTGAATGACCTAATTTGTTTTATATTTTGAATTCACTGTGTCATTTGCAGTGTCTAAACACAGCATAACAAGAAGTGAAGAGGATTTACATAGAAAGACAATTAGTTCAGGTTTAGGTACATTGAGGCCATCCAATTCTAATTCTACTAAAATAGTAGAATGACTTTACAGAGAAGGCTGAAGATGTAGAAGTAGACCATCATATATAATTTTGTGGTTTTTACATCAAAGGCCTGTAGTCTAAGTTTAGCTTAGAAAATACATACTCTGAAATCTTAGGAGAAGGGGGATAAACTGATGTTTTCGCTGAAGCTTGCTTAAATACAAGATATTCTGGCAGATTTATAAATACTAGTTGTAGATGACTGGATCAAAATCAGTTTTCAAGGCAATCCTAAATTATGAAGTAGGGAGAGATATAATTAAGAGTTTTCTGTTTTCTATTTTTTTTTTCAGATAGGACGTGAGAAAGGCGAGTTCCAGCTGGTCCTTGATGCATTGGACAAAATTAAGACAAAGGTAAAAAACCAACAAAAACCTCAGTTTCATTCTTAGGGAAAAATTAGCATAAGCTATTTAAAAAATATGTATGTGAGGTTTATTTCAGTAAAACTATTAAGTTTAAGATTTAAAATCTGTATCTACTAAGTTTCATGAATATGTTAAGTATACATATACATCCAAATTATCTTTGTATGTGTAGGGTTTATGGTTTTAGAGTAATCTCACATACATGAGCTCATTTAAGCCTCACTTTCTCACTGCAGTGAATGAGAGTAATTGAGTGTTTAGTGCCACTCTCCCTCCTCCGTCACACAAACACAGCACACATGCACACTAGCAGAGGGAACAAATGTTTGTGTTCTTACATTTCCCTTTCCTTCCTGGGAAGAACCTATGTATTTAAAATCTTATGAGCAGACCTGTCTGGGGCCAGAGAGATAGCACAGCTGGCAGGGCACTTGCCTTGCATGAGGCCTATTTGGGTGCAAACCCTAGCACCCAATATAGTCCCTTAAGCCTGCCAGGAATGAGCCCTGAGTTTAGGGCCAGGAGTACCCCCCTGAGTATCACTGAATGCGACCCCCAAACAAAACAAACAAAATAAAACAGCAACAAAAAAGAGTGGACCTTTCCAGTTAACCAACCAATTTTAATGACCTTTGAGCCATTCTAAACAAATGCCAGTATGTTTTAACCACCAAAGCAAATATTCAAATATTTGGGAAGGATAAAGTCTTTAAAAAATCATGGAGGACCAAGGCATTCAGTTCCAAAGAGATATTCCTGTTACCTTTTACTGTGGGTTTCTCTTTTTCCTTGAGAAATATTAGATTTACAGCTCTACTGACAACCGGTGAGGAATAAAATATTGCAAGGACTGTGCCAATAAGAGTCATAACACACAAACCAACTTGGCTCTTTGCTTCATAAAACCACATGCTTTGCTGGAAAGTTCTTTTTCTCTATTGCATTTGAAATCCATGGTCACGGAATGGAAGTCCTTTCTGGCTGAAATAGGTGCCAAGGGGTTTGGGGGTTCTGCTCTCCTTCAGGGCAAGGAGGCGCCTTTCATCAACTTTGACCCGTCCTGCCTGTTCCCGGCTTGCCGTGACTATTGGTCCTACCATGGCTCCTTCACCACGCCCCCCTGTGAGGAGTGCATCGTGTGGATCCTGCTCAAGGAGCCCATGACCGTGAGCTCTGACCAGGTAGGAGGAGGCGGCTGTGAACACACCGCGAATAGAGCAGTCCAGTAGCTACATTTCAACTCAGATGCCAAATTGAAATAGATATCATACATCTATATCTATATCAATCTCTCTCTCTATTCATCTATATTGTTGCTAAGTAGATGCATACTGAACAGCTCTCTACCTAGAAATCTCAAAATCTCATTTCATTCTTCTTCCTTACAGCCAGCCTATTGGATTTCTAAAATGTTACTACCAAAGAGGATAGCACAAACTCTTTTTTACGAAGTATTACTTTCAACAATAACAAAGTCTTTGCTCTAGAAACATCCCGGTGTATAGGTGAACACAAGTGAGTTGTTATTCATTCAGAGGACCTTCACATTGTTTAGGTAGATAGAGGGATGGGAGATGCTAGTGAAAATTGCTACCAATGGACGCTATTTAGCATCCTTGTGATGTGTGTGCATCTATTCAGCTTTCCAGATAAGCACATCAGGGTTCAAAAAGATTAAGTAGTTCCCCCATGAGCACAAGCCAGGTGCGCGATCTAAGATTCCAATCTTCATCTGTCTCCGTACCCCACTGTTTAAAATTTCCTTTGTTATGTTTGCATAAAAAGACTCTCCTTGCAGCATTTATTAAAGAGAAGTTCAAGAAAAGGCTGTTGGAGAGAAACGTGATGGGTAGGTATATGGAGAAGAATAGATTAAAGCAAGTGGACAACACAGGGCATCTCAACCTAGTTCATGAAATTCAATGGTAAAATCAGTTTACCACCTTTACCTAATTATTAATATGTCTTCTATAACCAATGGAACAATTTTTGTATTTCTGCCAGTTGTGACCTCAATTTTACAAGAGCATTTTAATCAGACTTAATGGTTGATTCTGGCAATAAATAAGTATTAATTTTAATTACTTTTAGAATAAAATATTTTGAAGGGGAAATGAATTTTTTAAGGAGTAAAATATTTTGTTAAACAATTTTTTTGGTCATTGGATAACACTCAGCTGTGTTCATGGCTTATCCCAGGGATAATCTCAGGGATGTCTGTGCTTGGGACCATGTGTGATACCAGGGACCTAACCCAGGTCGGTTGTGTGCAAACAGGCGCCTTACCTGCTATATGAACTAAAATTCTGGCACAGGACTAGAACTTTTTTAAAAAGGAGTATAAATATTTTGAAAAGGGAATGAATTTTTTAAAGGTGTGAAACTAAAAGCAGCTTGCTATAAAAATGCAGGGCTTTCGAAGAGAATTCAAAAACTGTTCTCAAGGAAAATAGCAGTTCTTAAAATCTGAAATGTAGTGTGACTCTAATCTTCAATTCCCCCAAAATAAAGGAATAAAAGGCCTGTGCAACTTTCCATATCACAGCTCTGGTAATATTGTCAGTCTCCGCACATTTGATCCCTTACGGAAAGGAGGACACGATGATCCGGTATAGAATTCTGAAGAAGGGACTTCAACAAATAAAAGATTCCTCTTCTGCAGCAGCGGGTGGCTAACATCAGACTTGAAATTGGAAGCAGATGCTGCGGTCGGCCTGGGATTTCTAGGTCTGGGTGGCAGAGTGCCCGCGCGTGCTAACTGTCCTCCTTGCTGCTCTCCCACAGATGGCCAAGCTGAGGAGTATCTTCTCCAGCGCCGAGAACGAGCCCCCGGTGCCGCTGGTGGGAAACTGGCGCCCCCCTCAGCCCATCAAAGGCAGGGTGGTGAGAGCGTCCTTCAAGTGAGACCCGGGCTGGCCGCTGACCCTCTTCAGGACCAGAAATTCGTGCCCGGAGAGTTGGCTTCCTTCCTTCCTCCTTTTGGTGCTCCTTATTCTTGCAAATCTCAGCTTTCCACACTGAGCAAATCATGGGAGAGATGCAATCAGCAGGAAACCAAAGTTACTTATATATAGCAAGGGATGGTATGAAAGGATTTGGCTTTTGTAAGCTCATCTTTCCCCAAAAAAGTAGGATTTCCTGGTAAGGATACAAAGACGTGACCAGAAAAGTGAAGATATGGAAAAAATATGGCAATTGGGTGTCATTTATTCTGTCATTTAAAATTTCACAGAACTTCCATTTTACTGTTTTCGTATGCATGTCCTCCGTGGCAAAGGAATATTAAATGTAGAAGATCAAAATATTAAAATATGAAGGTCAAACTGCAATTAAACATGTCAGACACTAAAATAGCCACAAACATTAAGAATTGAAATGAGAATCTTATTTCAAGTTTTAACTCTTAAACAAAACTAGCAAGACAATCATGTTTAATTGTAATTTATTACAGTTAAAGTCACTAGAAAAATCACCTTTTAATGAGCAATGTGAGGAAACAGAGAGATCCGGAATTTTTTAAAAAAATGACCCAGTATCTGAACTTCTTTGTTGAATGATTAACTTTATCCTAATTTCTTTACCTGAAGGAGGGCCATTTATTTTACATTTTTACTACTTTTTATCTTTGCATGCTTATTAAAACAAAACTGCTTCTCATATCATTGAAATTTGAAGGCAAAATTAATGATCCCAGAACACGCGGAAATAAGTGCACTTAAAGTAAAAGCTGATCATTAAAACTTATAAAGATTATAAATGTGAAAAGTTGAGTGTTGTGGATTATTTTAAGGGAAAAAAGGGTATGTAAATGAAAAAACGGTGTCAAACTGCAGGGTGCTAATGGACTAAAGTTCGAGTTTGTTGGACCCCGAATTCTTCATGGAGCAACTAGTGAGGGTCTTCTGTGGGATTTTCAGACAGAGAGACATGTGGACATGTATTTGAATGTAGGTTTCTAGAAACCTCCGAGTTGGTTTAGGAGTCTGAAGCTGATAGTTCTATGGGAATTCCACGGAGTATGGAATCAAATCAATCTATTGCTTTCTTATTTCCTTTCAGGCTATGTTGTGCATGTGTGTGCGTGCGTGCGTGCGTGCGTGCGTGCGTGTGTGTGTGTGGTTTCTGGGAGACATTTGTCAGTGCTCAGGACTTACTCCTTGCTCTATGCTAAGGGTGCATAGAGCAATGCTCCTAACAGTGCTATGGAGTGCTGGGGATTTAACCAGGGTGGTCACATGCAAGGCGAGCTCCTCACCTCTGGTAGTATCTCACTGCCTGTATCTCACTGTCTGTATTTTTTACCACACATAGTGAGATGGCACTGTCTCACATTCATTACGTCAAGACCTTTCTTAAATGTAGTACCTATGGGTCTTGCAGGTTGTGGTGTTGATAAGTCTTCTTCCACAGCTATGACAAGTATGTTGAATTAGTTTTATCAGAGAGCAGCACCATATTCATTACCCTAAGGAGTGAAAATGGTATTGGGTCAGGAGAGTCCTGTGATACCGGAAGTCGAGTCATGTGAGGGAGTCCTGAGAGGCTCAAGTTATTTAATAGATCACCACTTGGGTGAGGTATAACCAGGTTGGTCAGTGCAAACTGGATGTCTTAATTAAATCCCTTGAAATTAGAAAGTGTGGAGCTTTCATCATTAGTGGTAATACACAAGCTGATTCTCTCAGGGTACCTAGTATGCTTAGAGCACTAAATATGTATCCGATATACATTCCAAGTGGGGGAGGAATATGTACCTTGGACAGCTACAGTCGGATGATGAACAGGACAAGAAGTGCTCTGAGGAAATGTTCCATGAGAAGAGACACCCCTGTGAATCATGAGCTCCATATGGGCACGGATATGAATCTTATTCCCGGAAACTTCCCTTATCACCCAGAATGTCTGACACTTAATAAGCACTCAATAAAAAATATTTATTAGATAACTAATATCATGAACATAGAGGACTCTATACTCAAGTTCCAATGCTCAATTTTTTTAAAGACTGTTTTACATGATTAAGATTAAATTTTGCTTATTTTGTTTAATTCTGATCTCGCTTGAAAATGATTTCAGTCACTTCAATTGGTAGCTTTCCAATAGAACATATTTGTTTCCAATATGGTTCACTATCAATACTCACAATCATAATATATTCATACTTTGTTATATACATGTAGACACATATATACATACATTGTTATATACTTATATAATAATATGTCATATATTTCATAATAATATGTCACATGTTTTATCTTCTTGTGACCTAAGTGCTTAGTGACTGTAATTGTCTAAGTGTTGAGTTCCTAAAACTGTCCATTAGAATATTGAAGCAAAATTAGTCCATGTTCGTATGAGGATCATTCCTCTATGTGCAAGTCTCTAAATTACTGCATTTCCGAAAAGCAAAGCCTACGGATCAGTATGGCTAAGAGTCAACATGGTAAAAACTTTCAGCATCCAACAACTTCTCTTCTTTAGGATATAATCATTGCAGATATTTTAAAATGTTGACCAAAGGTGAAAACTAATTTGAATTAAGTGTCATAATATTCAGATAATCATACGACATAAGAAAAATATAATTTAATTAATATAGGGCAAACAAGAAAAACACTGTCCTCCCATTGTTCATTGATATGCTCGAGTGAGCCCAGTAACATCTCCATTTTAAGACCTGTTACTGTGTTTGGCATATTGAATACATCACGGGTAGCTTGCCAGGCTTTGGCATGCGGGCGAGATACTGTCAGATAGCTTGACCAGAGCCGGGGAATTGAACCTGGCTCGGGCAGGCTGGCTGCATGCAAGGCAAACGCCCTACCGCTGTGCTATCGCTCCAGCCCAAATATAGGGCACTCTTAGATTTTAACAGTACAGATGTTTTAATACCTGCTACTCTTACAAGAACACAGAATATACAAATGAAGGACAAATAATTATTCAGGATCAATGATTGTTCTTTGTGATCAATCACTAAATATTTATGTAGCTTGAAGGGTGTGCATTCTATATACAACACGTAAAATTTCAAGTTACTGTATCTAACTGTAATCATTATATAATTAAATATGATTGAAATATGTTAACCATAAATAAGCTTGCATACAAGTGAAAAATTGATACGATGATTATCTCGATAAAAAATGGCACATATTTGGGTCAGAGAGATAATTCATGAGGTAAGATACTTGCTCTTTATGTAGTAGCCAATCCTGGTTTGATTTCCAGCACCTCACATGGTCTCTGAGCACTGTCAGGAGTTAATTCTGTGCTCAGAGCCAGGAGTAAGCCCTGAGCACTGGTGTAGCCGGAACTGCCTCACCGCCGCCAAAAATCGTCAGAAAAAAGATTAACCTTAACGATATACATATGGTTCAAAACTTTTTGGGGCAAAATCATAAATATTAATGAAGGTCAGTTTTTTAAAAAGTCATATTTAATGAATGCAAATTTTAGTTTAATAAAGTGTTGTAAGGCAAAATTTAGACTTAGAATGCAAACGAGTATGTTTGCCTGTTATTTCCATTTGGTCACTAGATGGCAGCAAAATAATTGTGAAAACATTTTACTCCTGTAGGTTGTAGTGCAGTTATTTTATCTATGCATTTACTTATATTTATTTATTTTTTCAGTGTCTGGACTCAATCCAGGCAGGTGCTCAGTTGAAATGAGTCCCTGGTACAAGTTCTCATTTTCCAACCCTAGGCTTTTTTTTTTCGAATTTTAATATTAAGCATTAATATCTACTTCAAAATGGAAGATGTTGGGAGAATCTTAACGTTGTTGTTGTATTTTAGGCCACGTGTGGTGGTGATTAGGGGATGCTCCCATCTCTGTGTGTGGTGCTCAGGAGACTCTACATTACTGGGTGCTGGGGACAAGTTCAGACCTCCTGCATGTAAAGCATGCATTCAGTCTACTGATCTATCTTTCCAGTCGGATTACATATGTTTGGAGAATTTTAATAGTTAAGAAAGAGGCCTAAGTTTTGAAATGAAAATAATTGACTCAAAAATTAAATGAGATGCAAGCATTTTACAGTTATTTTCAACATTCAGGAGCCCTGGGTTCATGTCAAAAATTATTGGTAGGTAAACTTTGGCAGGTTAATTTAAATTGTGTCTCTGTGTCTTCACCTATGACCAGGAATTAGAGTGTCTGTCTAAAGTTTGAATGTTCATAATACTAACCTTTTACAATCATTATTCTAGTATGATACATGGCCTTTGAAAGGGAATAGCTATTATCTTCTGTAGAGTTAGGTTTATTTTAACTGAGAAAAATTTCAATGGTTTATTCAATACCTAAAATTGGGTTTCCTGATGTATTTGTTAATAATGTCATTAATTCATATCTAATCAATTCAGATAATTTGCTCGAGCGGGCCCAGTGACGTCTCCATTGGAGACTTTGTTGTTACTGTGTTTGGCATATCGAATACTCTCGGTAGCTTGCCGGGCTAGGAGATAGTTTCCGAAAGGGTTCCTGTCTATTGGTTTTCTCATGGGATGAAATGGTGTTTTATTATTATTATTTTTTGTTTATTTTATTTGTTTATTTATTTATTTATTTATTTAAAGTAAAGGCCCTCCCGTTGATCGTCGATTTGCTCGAGCGGGCCCAGTAACGTCTCCATTGGAGACTTTGTTGTTACTGTGTCTGGCATATCGAATACTCTCGGTAGCTTGCCGGGCTCTCCGAATATTTATTTATTGCTTTTTGGGTCATACCCGGGGATGTACAGGAGTCACTTCTTGTTCATGCACTCAGGAACCACTCCTGGTGGTGCTCCGGGGACCATATGGGATGTTATGAATCGAACCTGGGTTGGCCGTGTGCAAGGCAAATGCCCTACCCACTGTGCTATTGCTCCAGCCCCTGAAATGGTGTTTTAAATTGAACATAATTCTTGTCCATACTCTGGAGCCAGATGAACAAGACATGGCCCTTTAGAAACTAACGCCAAGTTAGGACAGGTGAACTAAGAAAGATCAGAGAACGTTTCCAGGAGGAGCACTGTTTCAGGACGCTGAACCTAACCTGAGGAAATATACAATTAGCAAAAAAAATATGGCTAATAAAGCAGACATGTTGGAAGAGTCACAGATTTCACTCTGCCAATGACTTTCAAATGTCAGCAGGATAAAGTCATTGGGGTGTTGCGTGAAGTGGAGCTATATCCTCACCATAAGTGCTCAAAGTCTCTCCTGCCATGAAATTAATTTAAAGCTTGTCTGGGCATGTCATAAAATCAGAAATCTGAAGGAGATGCCCCAGTACCCCTGCACAAATTGCTTATCCCTTTGGAGGTGATTCAGCTCCAATTGTACAAATAGGCATCAAACAGTCCAGGTGTAAAATCCGGGTCTAAGAGAGCTAATGAACTACTTCAGCTTTGGAGGTGTTTAACACGGCAGTCACCTAACAACTTGACTCGGTAGATAATCACAGGTAATCAGCCAGGACCAGAGCGTGTGGAATGGTGCAGTCACAGGAGACTGGTGCATGGCAGCGGCAGAAAACCCAGTGATTTAAAGGCTAATTTTAGCCAGGTGAGAATAGACGCTGCAGTAAACAGGGAATAATCAGTTTCTCCTTTGTATTTAATGCATTCCCAGGTTGAATGAGCACGGATCAGGGAAAATAGTTTGGTCATTAACTATGCATATTCTCTGTTCCAACATGCTCATAAATTTTGACCATATTCACTCAACTCATTGGCAATTAGAATGGTTCCAAGCACAGTTGTTC